CGGCACGAGATTTCCCGGATCGACGCGTTACGTTATTTACTTAAAAGAGAGATGTTGGGGAGGTGGATTCCGATTTCCTCGAATTGCATTATTGCTGCGTGGAGGACGCAAGGAAAAATGGAAATCTCCTCTGCATGCGACGTTCCTTGAATTTTATCAAGGTAATGTCCTAATCCAACGCTGCGAGATGCTCGCGCTCTATCGGAAATCATATATATAATTAGAAATCATATTGCCAAGCGATGACCCTGATTCTGCACGCGCGGCAGATTATATCTGCAATCTGTGCAGTCGAAGCCGGGATGGTACGTGAGAATTTGTTTCTATAACTTGACAGATATTCCAGATTAAAAAAAATTACACGAGCCACTGTTGCTAACGCGAGTTCCGACCGACTTCGACTGTGCGTGTTTTTTATCTCGGCGTGCAATTTTTTTCCGGCATCGCAGACTCACTTTTGCAAATGTATTGTTCTTCTCCGCGAAATTAAAATTTATAATCATCATCGTGACGGCGGAAAGCCGTCTAGCTTCTATTAACGCTTACACGTTTCCGGGCGGAGCGGCTTAAAAATACGAGCGAGGAAATGATACGGAAGGGTATACGATTACGTTGCTCAAGTAAGGTCGGATCCTCCTTGAGTCGCGCGGTTGTTGCCGGGCGCGCGGAAATATGTATGGCGAGCATTACACGGCTAACGTCAAGTTTACGCAACGCGTATTACGTAAGGTGGACGAACGTATATCGGAATACGACCCGGCCCGCAAATGTCGGTACAATCGGCGTTGAATCTATGCATTCGATAGCCGATACTTTTCAACTTCAGATCGTATGCGTCACAGGCTTCTCTCTCTCCCTCGCGAGTAATTTGCATCGATCGAGAGAGAGAGAGAGAGAGAGAGAGATTATATATATAAAACACATGATGTGTGTGAAGCAGAGATTTACATGTACGTAAATTAGTATATGAGTAGAGAGAAACACGAGCAAAATATTATAAAAATGAAAAAAATTTGTAAGTTATTCGAGATAAAAAAAGGCAAGCAAATGCATCTCTTTGAGTAGACACGTGACATGAAATTATTATCGCGTTGAATAGATAATAATGACGATTAATGCAAAAATTTTTCTGTGATTAGGTAATACATACCATACAGTCGATCAAAAGCAATAAGATTTCTTTCCGGAAGAAATTTCTCGAAAAATAAAATAAAGGAACCCAAACGACTCCTACCTTGGAAGAAAATAAAAATTTGCTAGATATTTCTATCTCGATCAAAAAATAGATAGTCATTAAAAATAATAATAATTTTATTCTTCTTTACTCAACTATTACTAAGTAAAATAAGTTATTTCCCCGGGCTTTTCCGCACGTGTTCGCGAAAGCGGATTCACTGAATTTCTCGCATCTTTATTCGATCTAGATTTATGCCGCAATCATTGCCCTCCCCATACGTCTCCTTTAAATTCCACGAGCAAGAGCGCATTTTGAACTGAAATGTAATCCCTATGGCACCGTCGCGGAAAGGGCTATCATAATGGTCGGGAGAAGCTGAAAGCTACCGCAGCGAAGTGCAAGCGATAATCGGGGAAACTTCGCCGTCTCGCGGTATCGCAGTAGGAAGATCTACATCCCGATCACCACCAGACGGTATGACGACCGTCCGAACATCAAAGCCGACGGTCAAGGTCCGCCATTGGGACCTCGCTCGTGCTGACTCGTGCATTTAACCGACGAAACCTCGGTTAGAAAAGCGGTAGCCGCACGCGGAACTAGAAATAAATCTTCCGTGCGTTCCGTGCACGCGCGCGCCGTTGCCCACAATGTCAACAGACATGCATATACGTATACACACCCACACATTTGCGCACACGTACGCAAAGCACACATCACCGACAGTTGCACACCAATATTATTTCGCGCGCGTGCAGTCAGGGCCACGGTGACCTTAACTACCTTCCTCCGCACCTCCAGCCCTCCCCCTCCCCTTCTCCTCGTTTGCTACCCTCCGCGCCTCGTCCCCTCGTCCACGAGTAATGCCGCATTCGAGGGCAACGGGGAGCGCGGTCAGGGGAACTGGCACGTGCCGCTCGTGGTGACGTCACGCGCTGTGCACTGCGACGCGATGCACCAACGGCGCCGGTCCTCGCCGCTCCGAGATCTAGGTCCATGTGCGGGCGCGAAACGAGGATATATTCTGGCGCGTGCGCGACGTATTTTCTAATGGAATTTGCCTCGTGTCGATTGCGCGAGATCGTCCGCCCGGCTAAAGATTCTCGCTCCTTCGATTTCGGTATTTACGTGTGTATGCACGTATATGGATAAGCTGAGATAATAATTATCACGGTGCATATATAAATATTTATGTAGATCCTCGAGCTAGAAACTGCACATTTCCTTCCTCGCTTCAACCCAAGAGATTGTGTCATGATCTCTAGGATAATGATTGTGAGAATTCGATTAGCTTTTTTTTTTAACGAGATTCGATTATAGATTTCGGAAAAATTTCGCGATGATAAGTAGCTATTTAAATTTGGATTACAATCGATCGAGTCATTTTTCAGGTAATTGCCATCTGACATTCAATGAAAAAGAAACTAGCCTGAGAATGGCTTGTTAGAGACATGTAAGTACACGCGCTATTACTCTGGCGCGTGCATGACCTTTTTAAGACCTATCTTAATAAGACCTAATTCACATTGATTTAAATTTTCCCTTTCGAGAAGTTCATTCGAGAATCAGCAAACTCACGGAAGAAAAAAAATTCAGTTTACAAAACCGAGCAATTTTCGAAGTGAGAATCGCGTTTAATCGAAACGATATCTCTAATTATTTAATTAGTGTATACGCGAATCTTTAAAAAATTTAAAAATATCCCGTAATTTTCCTCAACTAAATACCTCTTTCTGAAAATCCTCGGCAAGTTCTATCGAACTGCACGATTTCGACATTCGATCGAAACGCTATAGTATAGCGCTGCACGTGTCGCAGAAAAGAACAAAGGAAATCTATCCGCCCCGACATGCAACCTCCTCTACGATCTATTCGAGCGACTACGGCACTGCACACGTGGATGTGCATATATGCAAGCCTGCGCGTGCGCGGGGGAAGGGAAGGGGGCGATCAGAGTTCTAACGCAGTCGTTCCACAAATGCGATATACTTCCTAGCCGCCTTCTCTCCCTCTCCTCTATCGAGATCGCCGTTCATGGATACACGGAGATGGTTTCTCTCTTATCTCGATCGACTGACCTCTCGCGATGACGAGCATTAGGCGTTGAGGGCATCCAAGGAACGACACCGACGACCTTGCACACGCCGTGTGTTCGCCGAGATATATCCTTGAGTCGATCAATTGGGTCAGGTGCGCGGATACGCACAGGGTAGAGTGACCATCTCTTTCTCTTTCGCTCGCGACTCGAACAATGGGAAAGAAAATTGGGGCGTTTTTTTTTAATTTTGAAAAGACAGCCAAACATTTGATATTTATTTTATGGGATTGCTCTATAATTTTTTTGTTATTATTCGCCGAGTATATATCGTACTAATGCGACGATAATAGTATATTGTGTATCACAAGTGCGGAAAGTTGACAATTCGATGACTCGCCTTCGGCTCGTGCGTCCATCCCCCGCACTCGTGACCAATTGTCAACTTTCCGCACTTGATACACATACTATTTTGTATTACAAGTGGCTTTGTGCGCGTTTTCTAGGCGCGAGGTGGCCGATCGCACGCCGCCATCTTGCGGCGGCACGGTGCGGGAATAGCCGTGTTCAAAGTCATTGCCCACGGCTGAAGCCGTGGACAATGACTTTGAACGCGGCTTATTCACTCAACGCGTCGCCGCTAGATGGCGGCGTGGGAAATCGGTTGCTTTCCGCACAGAAAACACGCACACAAAGTGCCACTTTGCCTGCACGTGTAATACAAAATATTGTAAAAATATTGTAAATTCAGCTTTGGAATTTTAAATGAGGCGAAATGAGGAACGTGTTATGATTTTTTATGCGTACAAACGAAACGAGGACAAAGTAGAACTAAACGCCTAAAATATGCGAGGTCAGGTACATATGTTCTCATATATAAAAGTACGTGCGGGAGTGAAAGTCGAAACCGCGCAAATTATACGCCGAACGTGATTGATGTGCTACCATCTCCGCGTCCAGAATCGCGAATGATTCGTGCGTATATATTCCGTCTGGGGACATTTCTGACTCGGACTGAATCGAGATGAATGACTTTAAGGCGGTCGCCAACCATCGCTCGCAAGCATCGGTGAAAGTAGGAACCTTCGGGTAAACTGGGTTACGAATAATATTGATCCGCGAGAGGAGTGGTGGAGTAGTGGTGACGATAGTAGTAGAGCCGGGTCGGGTTTTATACACGCAGAGAGACTGCTCTTGCGCTCTTCGGGTGCTTTCGATATAACGAAGGTTTCCCCGTGAATTGCACCCGCATGAATGATGTCGATTGCGAGTGGCTTTCGGTTCCTTTTCCACCGACATTTCTCCGCGTTTTTCTCTTTTTCGATTTCCAAATATTAATGGTTGTTTCGAGATGATTTAGAGGAAAAAAGTCGAATCTTGTTATTGTTACGATGAATATATAAGATTGCTTATCTCTATTTATGATTCGGAAAACAAATGTAAGAGCAACAAAACATTTCGAACGTATTATAGGTCGTAAAAGGCGTTTCTTTCGAGAGAATATTGAAATATTTAATTTAAAAATAAATCATATAAACGGAGAACTTTTTTATTATATACTTTCAATTGTCTCGTTATGCATATAAAAATGCAAGAATAAATATATTCATCCAATAAGTTTTCTCTCTACGACCCACCAAGCTGCCGTCAATAATCGCGACTGCAGAAAATAACCCGACATCGCTATAGAGTTAAAGAAGGGAACGGGGCCGGCAATTTTGCACCTGCGAGATTTCCAACGCACACACAGATCTCCGATTATAGACATAAGAATGGAAATCGAAACCTTACTTGTTCGCTTTCGAAAGTCGCGCAAGCGCCCGGTTCCGTCTCGATCGGGTCCTGGTTTACTTTCGCTCGAATCTGAAAGAAAAAAAGATCAGAGAAAATTAGCGCGGTGCTTCAGCGAGTCGGTCCGACTATACTTATTATACACACAGACCCTCCGTCACATGCTCCCTTTTCAAGCGGCTATTTCGGGGACCGCGCACGATTTTCCCGTTTGTACAAGCGGCCGAAAGCGGCAGGCAAAGGAAGGAACGTAGGCCGCCGAGTACCTAAGATTAGCGCGGGGCGATAATACCTCAAGGTCCGACTTGTTAGCCGTCTTACGAAATACCAAAAAATCCGCCGCGCGTGTTTACATCCTTGGCTCGGCCAAGCCGGCGCGCTTATGTCATCATCATCTCGCGCGCGCGCGCGGGCTTGGCTCGCGCGACGACGAAGAAGACTCCTCGCATCTTCTGCATCTCTGACCGGTCAGGGCCGTCGTGCACAACCATCGCTGCACGCGCAACATATCGCGATATATCCGAGGCGTCGGTGTTCTTCCCTTCTCTCTATCTCTCTTTCTAGTATCAATGCCAATAATGCTAAATGCCATTAGTTGCGAAAAATATCCCGTCTCTCTATATATATAAACTTGTCATTTTTGCCCCATTTTTCTCGTGCTCAAAGATTATTTAGTTAGGAAATAGATCAAATAAATTAATATGATATTCTTTCCAAAAGATATTTACATGGAGAATCTTGAGAAAATATTATTACAGTAAAATATGAAAATATTATTATAATAATTTAATAATTTAAAATTAATTATTTTATAAAAATATGTAGTTATATATATATATAACTTATATTAATTTTTTTAATGAAATGTCTCAAAGATTTCTATTTTGCCATCGTTTGCAGCTTTTTATTATTGAAAATTGCATTATTATAGTTGTTGCGTGTGCTAAAATGGAAATTATTGATACTACCGAAGACTCTATGCATAATACACTATTCTCTTTCTAACTGCTTGCATTTCATTACGTACCACGGAAATCGGGCTCAGTTACGAAACGATCGAAAGTAACTTTATTTTCACTGGCTCGTCCACTCGAAAAGAGAAAACTAGTTCACCCTCATTTTTCTGCAAAAGTGTGCGTTTGGCAATGTCGCTTAAAAATGTTCAAGTTCGCCGATTATGATAAATTTCAATAAAAAAAACTTTATTCTTCTACACTGTAACTCAAATACGGAGTGTTTATTTTAGAAATGACGTTAAGCCAGTGCTAAAAATTATTTCACAAACGATAGGTAATTTTCAAAGAAATCATCAATTTTAACAAGTAAGCAAAATTTGAAATGAACATATTAACAAAAATTGTCAATGTTTATTCGTGATAATTTTTTAATAAAATAAGATATATTTTTCCATAATTGAAATTTAAATTTAATTATTAGTTTCTCGCGTGTAAGAATACGAGAGAACTCCGGGGAATAAGCGAATCCAATCTAAGCTCAGATCGAATGATATACGCGTACAAGAGAAAAAGAGGAAGGAAGAAAGAGAGAGAGTGAAGTCCACCCTGATGCCCCATGCCGTCTTACGTAATAGAGTTATCGTATTCGTTGACGTTAATTAAGCTACCACGTACTACTACTACGCAAACGCGGAAAGAATTAATCACGGAGACACAAGCGTGCGGCGTCATCTCGAAGGCCATTCGATTTTTATCACAGCGAACTTGTATTCTCATCGCGAAGGTCACTTCGACATGCAATTTTAATGTAGGTAAGCTTCAAGGAAGTCATATTTAACGCCGCTAATGTATGTAAAGATGCAGAAAAAATAAACAAGCTTTATCAATGCGCGCTAGAATTTGCAGCTTTCATCGCTTGGAAAAATTCGAATAAGCAGCTTGACATGTAATATTCAATTCACGAAATGATAATGTTCAACTATAAATCGATGTGTAACATTTGAATATCAAGCCGATTAGAACGCATAGAAAATCATATGATACGCGCCGAAGAAGTATATGAGCAACGATACCAATATGATTAGTCGAGTTAACTTTTGTAAAAATAATTTCTTCGTCTAAAGACTTGCCGAGTTGAATTGGGCGTGAGTTGAGTATACATTATTCACGGAGATTAAGGCCAATGAAGACTTTCAAAGACGGCGGACGAGGGCAGTTCGTTCAGTAGAAGTAGCGCGAACACGCGACTCTGGAAACTCGTCTCAAAGGTCAGCGGTAATGAGTTAACAAAGAAATAGCGGAAGTCGTTGATACTTTTTACGGCATTGCCAAGTAAATACAGTAAGATATGCAATGTGTTAATTGGCTGTGACCCAAGGAACTCGTCGAAGTTTCCCGACGAATTTCTGACGTAGCGCTCCTTCGGGCCATCAGCTGATTATCACATCCAAATCTTTCGCGCGACACCCGGGATATCGACAAAAAAGTGTCTGTCGACGCCCTCCGAATAAGGAGGAGGTGAACGAACACCGAGGAAGGTTACTCACCTTCTTACGTGGGTGCTGCTCCTCGATGTAATCGGGCACTATTCCCTCGTCTAATGTTGTCGAGCCGGGAGTGCTGCTCGATGACGAGCCGGACGCGTTGTAGGGATAGTGGGGTTGGTTGTGCGAGGGATGCGAGGTTGCCGGGCATGGCGAACTCCTCGTCGGGACACCTTCCTCGCTGAGGGGTGGACTGGGGGTACCGCTTCGCCAGGAAGCCCCGCTGCTGCTACTGCTGTTTGACATGCCGCCGACTCCCGGTGAACCCGCGACCATGCTACCACCTCCGCCTCCACGACTCCCCCAGGAACCTGTCGTATTCCCTTCAGATTCATTTCTCGAGCCAATTATCGCGCTACCGTTTATATACAGAGAGTAAAATTTACTCTGAAAATCACGATGAACAAAAATATTCATATTTACCACAATAAGATATAAAATATGTTCGTACATAGTAAAATTTATTATGTACATATTAATATTTTTTATTGTGACAAATATTAATCAAAGAAATTCTTATCTATATTGTCCCACGATTACCATGATTCTCAAGATAAATTCTAAGAGAAAATTCTCTTCTAGAATGAATTTATTTACATTACGCGATATTTAACGACGTAAATAAATGATTCAACTGATGCAATTATATCTCATCTACTTATTACATAATGTATTAATGACTTATGATAATCATACATACTAATTACTTATATCATGTTTCGATGATAAATGATATTTATAATACTAATAATAAATGACACCGATGGCTAAAAAATTAATAAATTAAAGCAATGAATATATTGTTACTGTATAAATGAAAAGAAGTCAGGATGTTAGATGACGAAAAAAAAATTTATTTTGTTTTTCGACGATATACATTTTGCGTGAATGGTGTAAACGAATTAGAGTACAATACCATAATTGTATTGGCAGTGAAGTGGCTGGGGGTCGTGAGGTGAACACGAGAGTGACATAAGGACCAGGGCCGCGGCGCATTCGTCCATACAATCACCGCGTTCGTTGGCGCGACAACCCTCGCGTCCGCAATGCACCCTTTCGCCCCAACCGCTGTACATCCGTTCGGAATCATTGTTCGAGCTCGGCCGTCGTTTCCGGGATCTGAAATATACATTACCACACACTATAGTTCCGCTACGTCGTGTAACACATACGTGTATATTCATAAGCGTTTGCATCGCTCATTTTTTAATTTCAACTTACTTATCTATCATTTCAACTTACGTAAAATTTATTATTGCGTTAAAGAAATCTATTCGCGCAATATTTAATCAAGACGACTGGTTTTTTTTTTTATTAAGATCGATTATTCAATCTGACGATAATTTTCGATAATATTTTCAGTGATAATAATTAATTTCGGAAACTTCTACGAAGAGAAATTGATCGCATTTATATATTAATATTGCTCGAGGACAACAAAAGCTTATAATGGCAGATTGCGAAAAAATATACTGTTGCAAAATGGGCTCAAAGTAATTTTCTTAAGAGACTCTTGACAAATAACAGCGTAGTGAATATATAATTGCTGCCAAAGCTACGTGCGTTTCTGACATTACGTTTTCCTGAAACCACGCGAAATGACACGTCGCGTCTCTCTTTCACTCTTTCGCTCCGGATGCACCGGACGATGTAGTACGGTAATACCCGGTAGCATAGAAGTTATGATCGATATATAGTCACTTTTCCAGGAAAGACTATAGATTCTCGCGTTAATACTGCACGTGGAGCAATGTATCTACGTCGATATATATACTCGTACAACTCGATGTCGTCTACTAGGTACTTTTTCTGCTATCACGAGTTTTCCAACCGGACAAAAGATGACCAATCGAAATGTATATTTAATATAAATCAAAAAATATATAAAGTAACGTGTACCACATGTTTCAGTCTTTTCCAAGAATAAATACATTTATTAGAAAATTAAGATCTCACTCTAGAGATATCGATATATATATATTTATTAATGATACAAAATCGTATATGAAACAATATTATAATAATGCCTGTGTTATCATAATTGAGATCGAGATATGTCGTAAAATAAAAAATAAATAAGTCAAATCTCACAGATAATTTGTAGTTTCATCAAAATTAAAAAATTTCTACTAATTTCGACAAAAATCGTGCGTTTTTTTCCTCGAAGGTAGGACATAAAGATGTCATTATCTCGCGATCTCTCGCTTGGCTGGCGGTGCAGTTTCCGTGATAAATATCTCGAGAGAGCGCGGCTAGAAGAATAGAGCGGAATTCTCCCGGAGAAGGTGACCGGCCCTCTCGGACCTATATCGCGCGAAGAACAAAAACGCCAGAGAGCTAGGGAGCGCAGAAACGAGGACTTAGCCAAGGCCGTCGCTAAGCCGCACAGCCGTGTTCCACTCCCGGAACGTAGAGCGCGAGTACATCGAGAGTCGAAAGTGAAACATAGAACATGCCGGCCGGCATAAGGAATGACGCACGTACGCCAGCCGGTATTTCGAAAGCAACACCTCCCGAGAGCGCCGCAACACTTTGCGCGCGGCTGTCCCGTTTCTCGTGTATCCGATCCGTTATATGTATGTTGCGCCACTTAGCGAGAAGGCGGACGAAGATTCGAGTCGATTCAGGCTGATAACGAGATTCCCTCGAATTTTTTTTCACAAATTTTTACAAATATCGCAGCAAGGATCAAGCAGCGTTCAACTTGGTTTTCATATCCGTTTTGAAAATATTTCAAACCAGTTCGCTCTCTGCCGGTATTCTTCTTTCCCCGACTTTCCCACTTTTCACGGTTTTCTAAACCTACGGTAAATACTGATACCGCATGTATACGATCGTTGCTAGCTAATTGAGAGATTACGATCGACTTATGATTGCACCGCGGAAGTAATGAATTCGTATGTGTGTGTGTGAAACTGGCGTTTGATTTCGTAGAAATTCATAAATAATTAAGAGTTCTGCTTACGGCATTTTCCTTATCAATAATTATCAGAGGATTAAAAAAGTATGTATAGTGCTTCTACTTAAGCTCTAAAAAGAGTTCTTAAACTATCAAGAACTCTAAATCTATTGAAGATAAAGCCAGAACGAAATGAGACGCTAGCTTCACATACACAACGAATTCAAAGAGTTTAATTAAAACGGCGTAGATCGCTCGATCTACGAAGGGAAACGAGTCGAAACCGTTTGGAGTCGAAGCTGTACCGTTAACCGGTATGTGTGTATTATACCGCTTGTATATATATATATATATAGATATATATATGTACGGCTCGGGGGATCGAGCTCGCGGAGATAATCGTCGCGGCGCGCAATTAAAAAGAAACGGGGATATTTCTCTAAGCGAGGAAATCCCCTCTCTTTTTCTTTAGCAGACAGTATATCTCATCAGTCGAAAATAAGAAGCAATGCGTCAGAAAACGCGTCGTTTACCGCTCATCGTCGACCGTTTCATCACTGTTCACCGATGAATTTTGTTTTCTTCTCAATCCTGCCGTTCTATTTCGACATCCTCAGTGCGTGTTGGTACATTCGAATTTAATCGGAGGCCTCTACAATTTTAATCAAATAATTTTTTTTTTTTTTTTTTTTTTTTTTTTTTTTTTAATTTAAAATCTGAGAAGTATAATTTTTTTACGGAATTATCTGATTGAAGACGAATCAGACAGACCCGAACAAAATAGCGGGATTAACCTTCTCAAGATTCCGGGTAAAGAGCAGCGCTGAATATTTTCAGCGAATTGACATTGAAAATTAGCATGTAAAATATAACGACGCGCGTCTACTAGTCGGTTCATATGTATGATTATACACCATCTCATTGTATTACATAATACTTATTATTCGTGATACACTACGTAATATCAATTATTAAACATACAGAGAATTCAAAACGTCGAGAAAAAAATTGTACATCAGATGCGAATGCAAAATATGAACAGTTAAGTGTTGTGTCTTGAAAAGAATATTCATATGTAGAGCTTGTCGATAAAGAGACGGATCCATCGAGATATATTCTCGTTTATACCGGAAGTTTCTCGACCGTGTTTCACAGAATTTTACGGCGAGCAGGAAAGTAAATTACCTCGTTACGGTCGCTTTTACTCATTAAGTCTCTTTCGTACACGGATTCGTTTATGAATCGACCGAAACGTTTAAAGTGGACAGCTGTAGGAGAAAAAAGAGGAGGATACAGTGGGGAGAAGGAGCAATTTTCGAGTATCGCGTGCAAATTGCAGGTGATCCAGCGACAGAAAAAAATTGAACCGTGAGAATCAAGGTTTCAGTCAAATCTTTTTTTTTTCTTTATTTTTTTGCTCGCATCGTCCAGTATTAATATAATGCTGATAAAATATATTTGCGTGTTATAAATTAATTAGATCCACGAGCAACTGTTCTTTGCGTTCATCGTATTTTAAGCGATAACAGGCGCGTTGTTATGGCGACATTTTTCGATCAAAGTTGATTTTACTCGTCAAAAGTGTCGATACGTCCATTATATTTGCAAAAAAATTTTTTTTCAAGTTAAACTAATAGACTTTTATATTTTTCTGTGTATGTTCAAGTATAATCGACATTCGTAAATTCATAAAATAATTAACAGTGTTTCTATTTAATTAATTTTTACATCGTACACGAAGAGAATTTTCTTTTAGCGTTTATCCTGAAAATCATGGTAATCGTGGGACAATATGGTATTGGAAAAATTTTATAAGAGTTTTTCTCAAATATTTACCACAATAAAAAATAGTAATATCTATACCGCAAGATATAAAATGTTATTCTACGATTACCATGATCTTCAGGGTAAATAATTCTAAGAAAACATTCTCTCTATGTACGTATCGGGATTTAAGATCGCATAAAAAATCTTGAGGAAAATACGGCATTCCTCCGTTGAATGGATTCGTTTATCTACGGTACGTATCTGCGGCGGCAGCCCTGGATGGACGCTGTAAATATTGACGCGCGATCCGCGCGCAGGTAATATAGAGCCTGCAAAAGAGCGAGGTGACCATAAAGCCATTAGAGGCAACGACTTCATGGTGAGGCGTTATCCGCTATGCGCCGATACATATCGCGAGCCTTCTGACAAGTCAATCGAGCTCGTTGGTGGAAATCGCAAAGTGGTACCACAGCCGACGTTACACGGTGCTATTATATCGTCGTGACATAACGTTACGTAACGCAACGCGATCAGTTGGAGGACGAGCGCGTGAATTATCCGTCGCGACAGATCGATTGGATCTATGATGGATCGTTATAAGCAATACGTCCGTTGATGACAATTTCTTTTTCTTTTTTTTTTTTTTTTTTTCGAGCGATTGGGTGAACGTAAATGGAGAGGTATCGTGAAACGGTATCTCGTTTAACGATGTCCGTTGTGTATAGCGTGTAGCGCAAAAAGTTCTTAACGGTTCTTCGACAACGAGCGCGCTTCATATCCGCATTTGAGTTACGCTCGAGAAAAGGCCGGTAAAACTTTCCTTATCCGCATCTAAGCGCGTAATTCAAGGATATATTGCTGAATTGCTTTCGACGAATGTTGAGATTATACGTCTGAACGCAAACAGAGAAGTAGAAATGTTGATTAGGTCGGCTTAAAAAAAAAAAAAAATAAAATTATTTTTGCGAGTCTAATGAACGCCTAAATGCGAGAAGCGGTTCTTCGTTTTTTCAAATTCCAATTTTTAGAGTTTTCGAATACCTGGAGATCGACGACGAAGCCGGACGGCGGATGTTCGGTGCGGCGTTTCGCGGACGATCGATCCGCGAAGGCGGCAGCGCGAGCTTTCGCGAGAAAATGCAGCTCGTGGATCCGGGACACGTTATATAGGTCAGGAAGCTTGTTGATCCGTATTCGCGGTGCAGCATCCCCGCCGTGGGGTAATTGGGTCGCTGAATGTTCCAGTGCACGCAAAACTAGGTTACCCATCCAACGGTCCGATGGAGCTCGTATGCACGTGGGGAGAGAAGGGGGAGGAAGGGGGTTCTCGTTCGTGTCGTTAAGTACCGTTCACATGAGGATTAATGCTGTTGCGATGATTGCGGAGCCCGTAATAATTTTACCCGTCCGTTTATAAAGCGGCATTGGTCTACACCGCGAAAAGCTCACAAAG